TCCAGTATTTTTATGTGGAGTTGGTATAATCAGAATGCGAACATAACAGTATGAGAGGCAACAATTGATCTGTTGACTTGCGACTTTTCTTCTTTGGTAGTTTAAACAAATTACTGCAATAATTACATTGGCATGGGAGTTTTTTCATGGGTTAAATTTTACTTTGGTGGGGCTTTAGTGATTTAGAAAGTAAATATCAGAGAGTTGTGGATGGCTGAATAAACTGAGCTCTTGAATAACTAACAATTTCACTGAGAAGCTCAGTTTCTCAATGTTGATTTTTAAAAACTGGGGTTAACTGTTCAATTCTGCTGAGGTTAATGGAGTCTTGTTATCCTATACATCAAATATGCTCAAAGTAGTTCACTTTCAATGTAGTGTCAACAGCTGAGGGCTAGCAGCAACTGTCAACTGAGACAAGTATGATAATTTTAAGGGCTGAGGGAATTATACTGTCTGACTGACTGCTGGCGAAGAGAGAAAAGAATAGGAAAATAAGAAGGTATGCTGAAGTTCAGTGCTGGCTTACTCCAAAGCAAGCATAGCTAATATTTGGCACTCATCTATTCAGCTAATAACAGAAGTCAATGGTAAACTGCTTCCATATGGTTGCCAAGAAAACAAAATGAATACAGCACATCCATGTAGGGTCTGCACTGAGTTCAACTCAAGGGCAGCACTACTTTTTATCCACCTAATTGGTTTATGCTTTGTTTTTCAGCAGGATTACAAACCGGAAATCTTGCTGGAGTATCCTATCGGTTCTGTGCTAGAATCAACCATATCCTATTTGTTAGTGGAAGGAGATCAGAAGTGAGCCTAAAAGGTGGTGGATGGACTACTGTGCTTCCTTGGACCTATTAAGTGCTGTGGTAACATAGACAGGAAATGCTATTTCTTGCTCAATGCAGGATCTGCAAAGATAGCCGTCTAAACCCTGATTAAGCACTTCATGGTTTAAGTACATGTGATCAGTAAGCAGTTTATATTTTTATTACATTTTCCTAATATTTACTCAAAATTTGCCTTATACTGTCTCTCTGTCCCTGCTTTCTGAAGCAAAAGAATCTGCCATCACATTTTCTCATTCATCTTCTCTTCTATAGGCTAAACATGCTCAGCTCTCTGAACTGTCATCCTCAATCCAGTCTTCCCTGATATTCTGGTCACTCTTCTCTGGATCTGCTCCAGTTTTCAGCATCCTTCTTAAATTGTACTATCCAGACCTTGACCCAATATTTCAAATGCAGCCTAATAGAGAAAACAGAAAAACATTTGGACACTACGTCTTTGCTAGTACAACCTAAAATTGCATTAGCTTGTTACTGCTAGCTCATACTGCTCTCAGAATAATTCTCATCACTTCTATATACAGTATATATAACTCTATACCTAAATATTTTGATATTTTAATAACTATGTTTATTTTATAAAAATGTATGTATCTATTAAATTTTATCATGTTGGTTTTGATCCAGTGTACCAGCTTTGAAGATCATTTTGAATCTTTTTTCTTTTATGATGTTGGCTACCTGGTAGCACCTAGATGACTGAGCATGAAAAACTAAGCAAGGTCAGACTTGGTTAGAACCTGGATGGGAAATAAGAGAGTTAGACTGGAAAATAACCCAGAAGCAAACAATGGCAAATAATTTATATTCTGTTACCAAGAAAATGTCATGGATTTGTCTGTGTAATCACTAGGAATCAAGCTCAGTTCAAGGGAGTTTTTACCTTTTCCTACCTCTCTTCTGTGTCACAAGTAGATTTGATAATCAAGTATATCCTATTTAGTATAAAGATGGTTTTTATATTCCTAAGAAATTCGTGGTAGTTCCTAATACTCTGTGTATTATTTTCTAGAATCCAGATCTATTTTTCAAGAGTTCTCAGACAACAAATCTGAGAAAAAACATGCAAGATATAACTTCCCTGAAAAGTATTCTATTGTTCCTGAACAGTAGAAGTGGGTCTGATGCTAATTTGAATGTCTAGCAGAAAATGTCTTTCTATAAAGTTACAATAGCAAAACTCAAATTTTAAAGTGCTTTCTCAGACTGTCAGTTCTAGTTTTCAGCTATATACTAAATCACTGGTATTAAATTGCAGACAGACACTGAATTTGAAAGTGCTAAAAAAAAAGCCCTGCAAGAAATTCAAATTAAAAAAAGTAAGAACTTCTGTCTTCACCATCTTTTGTTTTCCTACATGTTACAGATAGGGTGGGTGGAGGGAGGAAATCTGTTGCCTAATCATATGTCTCAGAAAACCCTGGTTTAATTCTTAATTCCTATTTACACTGAGAGTTTCAATTATTTTAATAAGCACTCTCAGAATAAACGTGGAACTACCAATATCATGTATTCCCATGACTAGGGATTGCTTTCTTCAAGATTCAGTTTTCTCTGCTCCTTCTTCTGACGCTTGATAATTTATGATAGCAGCATGCTGGAGAACATTTATTAAAAAGGAACCAACTTCAATCAAAATCTTTTGTCCATGTACGCAATGATTTTGGAACAGGCCTCTCCAATTAAGACATGGATTGACGCAACTCATGCATTCATATCTCCAGTAGTGTATTTCCAGGAAGGAGACATCTCAATATTGTGTCCTTGTACTTTATACCATTTCATTGTGGTATAAGATATTATGAAACATATTGCCTCATGCCAATTTGTGTTAATTTGAATAAGGATTTGTGGGTGTGCATTGTTGAGTAAAGCTTGAGTAATTACAACTCATTCACCCAGTACTGGAAAAGTTTTCTCTAGGATGTCTTAGAACCCAAAATTATCTGCACATTCTAGGGGAGAGAGTTCTGCCATGAGAAGCAAGCCAAAAGTTACCTCTTATGTCTACGTATTTCTACATATACTAGCCATTATTAGTAAGGTCTCAATTCATGTGACAGTGCTTTGCATTCCACAAAGTGTTAGATCAAGTAGTACAATATTTTGCAAAGAACACTTTCTTTTCAAAAGTTATATGGATTGGGGAGGCCCAAAACTTAGTTTGTGAGATGCTTATCCATATTTATAATTGTCATTTGGTTTCATTGTACAAATTGATAGATGACTGCTGTGGATCTTGAAGAACGTTGTCCACAAATCAAGATACAAGATGGTCTAAAGCTTACTTTGAGATACAAACTTAGTTCCACATTGAAGGTGCTTATTTGGCTCAAGTGGGGATTAGGAACTTCTTAAATGTTCAATTTCATTTTAATGGAAAGGTCTTAATTCTGTCTTGAAGTCTGAATGAAACTAAAATACATACAGTGCCATCTACTTAGTAATTCTGATTTTGAATCACTCTGTAAAACATAGAAATAAGAAAAAAACCCCATACTTTTAATACACATCTGAGTTTATACTGGAGAACCTATTTTTAAAAGTCCCTCAAGTTGATGTGAAAATTGCCTTTTTAATAATGAACAGAGAATGTGCGTATATTTCTTTACCAGCAGTTGGATACTACTATGCATCCTGGAGCAAAATAGCCAGCATACTCCCCGTAAAAGTTCACTTTCACTAATTTTTCCCTGATGAGATCTTCACCTTTTTCTTTGTCTTGGATAAATTCCAAAATAAAAAATAGCCATGATTGCAAATTCAGTCATCAATGCCATCCATTAACTTCATTTTCCATAATCTGAGAGTTTAGTAGTTCCACAACACCCGGAAGTGCTGATATTGTAGGGTTGATTCTAAATTGAGAAAGGTGGGCTGAAACTGGTTTGGATTTTCAGCGAAACTTCCTTCATACAAACCACACCTCGAATTGCAATAAACATGTTACAAGCCAAAGCCAGAATTCAGCTGCCCACAGAATTTTTACACGCCTCTGATCTGCATGTAGTCACGTTGCATTAAAATAAGGGAATGGATTGCGCTGTTTGGGGATGGACAGGCTAATGTCTAAAAAAGCTACATTATAATCTTGGATTTATCAATTGCTTTCGATTATAAGCTCTCATTCTCTTCCAGGAAGAAAAGAAACAAAAAGAGGAAAAACGAGACACCCCCCCCAAAAAACCGTTTTACAAAACAGCTGTTGGCGTTACATCGTCTTAGTACTGTATGTAACAACCTCGTTCATAGAGAACTGGCCATGTAGGCATCTCACAACCATAGACTTGAAACCTTGGAAATGGTAGACTTGCTTATGCAATTACGAATAAACTCCACACTCCTCACGGTGCAGCCTAGAACAAGATGAGGCGTTTTCGTTATTTTGTTGAACGAAAGCACATTGCAAAGGGCCCCGAGTCCCGCCCGATCTTTGGCGAAGCCGCTCTCCGCCGCTGGCGACGGCAGCTCCCACTTTCGCCTGAGGGAGAGCGCGCGAGCGAACCCGCCGCCGACTTCTACATTGTAACTTCGTGGGCGTGAACGAGAAGGCGTCTTCCGTTTTCCGGTCGCGCGCAGCCGCAAAGGCGGGTTGCCTCTCGCGCAGGATGCCAGAGCGAGTCGTCGCCCGGCCGGGGATTTAGCGGCGGGGGGGAAGAGCGTGTCTGTCGCCGCTGCCCGGCCGGAGG